TTTTTTGGATTTTTCCAAAACGTGGCCAACACAAGAATTTTTTTTATTGGCCTAAGGGAGCATTCCCGATTGCGTCAGGGACAACTACGCAGCGCAAGGATGGCAGTGAAAACGCTGTAGCGACTGTAGCGATTCAATCGAAACCAGGCTTTCACCAATAAAATTTTTATTTTTATTTTGATAAACCAAAAGAAAATAAGTTTGCGAAACGAGATATAAAAAAGTTTCGCCTAAGGAGAAAAAATGCTTCCGGGCCAATATCCCTATTAGTTGATATTATTATTATTGTTCTTTTTTTTTTTTCATTATTTAAGATCAATGTGTTTATAAAAAAATCTAAGCATTTTAAACGTATTTCAAAAAGTTATTTGATTCATCGTATTATCAGTACCAATTGAATATAATGTATGTATTATCACTTAGATTGGAATTTTATGATACAATACCACCTTTGTCTTTTGCTTGTTTGATGAATAATTTTAAAAGCTTTTGGAAAAAAATGTCAAACATGCCATTTATAGTACATATTCCTTTATAATCCATTAATTTACTATCTGTTTTATTAGGAACCATTTCTATAGTGTCTCAGATGATTTTTATTTATGACTAGTGTATTGTAAAAAGGTTGAATAATTAATGAAATTAGTATATAAATTATTATAGTATTATTAATATTGTTATGCTATTGTCATTTTATGAATATATTATTGATATTATTTCGGTAAATATTGTTTATCATTGATAATATATTATTTATACTGTTTTTATTATAATTATTTTCGTAAAAAAATGATTTAGTTATGAAAAAATGCTGGCATCATTAAAACAAATGTCATAATGGCCAAAATATATTTTTTTTTAATAGTACTGCAGGTTAAGAATTAAGCTAACATAGTAGGTATATGTAGTCTTTCTATTCTGTTCTAAAGTGCATAGAAGATAACTGTAACATTATTATTATTATTATTATTATTATTATTATTATTATTATTATTATTATTATTATTAGTAGTAGTAGTAGTAATAATATTATTAATAGTATTATTATTATTATTAATAATAATATGATTATTAACAGTAATAATATTATTAATATTATTAATTATAAATTTGCTCACTGTTATGTGTAGCCTTACTGGGGGTTATTCCAATTTGATAATTGTTCTCAAAACATTTTTAGACATCCATTCCTTCCTCCAGTAGAAAAAAAATTGAGAAACTTCAACAATTAATTTTTTATCAATCACTGGCACCATTGACTATTACTCTATAGATTCCAAGTGTTTGTCACAGCATTGTTTTCTGTTTATTCTATACGATATGATTTCCAGAATCTGGAGTTGAAATACATGTTATCTTTGACCTTTTTTAGCAATCTTTGTGATTGTCCAATATAGATTGCTGCTTATTAGATAATGTTAAAGATTGTAATAAATTACCATTCCTTTCCTTATTTTAACATATTTACTACATAGAACATTCTAGAATTGCATATAATTGACCAAACAAACAAGTGAAAACCACATTGGTAATTACAGGAACACATGACACCATGTACAATCCAAGAGTAATATTTGGAAGCTTCTGGAATCTTGGGTACTGTAGAGGAAATAAGCCTATTGGTTAATTATGATGTAAGGTAACCAATGAGGAACTTAGGCAATATAGATTGCTCTTGAATGCTCAGGAGTTCTAGGGCTAATGTATATAAGGTTAGAGCTTGCACTTTTGAGGAGCTCTTTTTTGAAACACATGTTTATGTGAATGTTTGTTGTATTATTTTGATACCGGATTCTTGTTGGAGTTTATACAGAATAAAAGTTTATTTGAGAGTTGTGTTACAACATTGTGAGCTGTGTTTGTTTTTTATATGTCAAAGAGGGATTCCTATTCATTTCTTTACCGCTCGGAAATACGTCAAGTAGGAATTCATGACAAAGATATTGTAACTAAAAAGGTTTTGTCATGTTGTGAGAAAATTTGATATGGGATAGTAATATTTTGGTGTGAAACATACCAAAAGATAAGCGATTAAATGCAAAGATTTATTTCCAGTGGGGTCTTTCTGTTGGTGAATTGGACAGTACACTGGAAGAAAACCCTTACGCTCTTTTGAAGAGAGTGTACTGCCAAATTGCAAACAGGATCAGGATCTAAATGCAGGGGCATGTGTTGGTTTTTTTGGGGGGAGGGGGGTGCTTAAAGGCCTGGGTGGTGCAAAAATTGAGAATGCAAAACTAAATTCCTATTCTCCTGATAAAAGTAGTCTCACTGAAAAATTTAAAAACCAACCAGTGGTTTTATCTCAAAAACCATATTTTTACATATGGTGTACCTTAGTTTAATGATTTTGTTACTGATACTTGCCATGCAAACCTTTTTAAAACCAAGAAATATTTTTAAATCCCTTTTCCAATGAAAATGGTATTTTTACCCACTTAGTGGGTCCACATCCCCCCTCCCCCAGCCTACTACACCATCATGCTAAATCTCATACAAAAGTTGATGTGCAACTATTAAAATTCTGAGAACAGTGATGGAATTAAACCATGGACTGAAAATTGTAGGAATCTTCATGGTTCATCGCACATAGTGGTTATTTCACTTGCCGACTGAACTATCACTCACCCTACATATCAATATATTTGTGAATGTCATTTTACTCATAATTATTGTCTAGAACAGAGTGGATTAAAAAGTTATGGTTATTCTGTCAATCAAAGTTAGTTCCAGTGAAAGCTACAGATAAAATTGTAGAAAAGGATTTTGGTATGAAAACATGAGTTCAAATTTCTTATGTTTTTAGATCTTGCTGATTATAAGTATTGTAGTTCTCGAGGCTATGTGTCAGTATAAAAAATATTCATTTTGTTTTGGTTGTTAACAGTGATGAAAGCAGTACACAATTATCTTTAACATCTCTCCCAAAAAAAGTGAAAAAATAGTTTGGTATATAAATAGAAGAGATGAATACGCCTGAGAGAGAAATTGTTTAAAGATGTAAAAATAGAAATCACAACAAATATACAATAGTTGTTAAGATTGCCGATTTCTATGCTAGTATATTTTAATATCTGTAAATTAAACCGCTGGGAATCTAGTATGGAGAGCTTTAGTCTCGCCCATTGTCATCACTGTTAATGCTATTATGTGGCTGTTTGTGGTATTATGTTTTAATTTCCACTTAAATTATAATTTTTTGGAATATATAAGCGTACACCTGCCAACTCTCATGCATATTGCACGAGTCTCATGCATGAGCATCCCCTTTTTCATGTCTCACGCCTACGTTGTATTATCTCACGCATCATAAAAATTTTATGAAAGATAAAATGTACAGACAGATTATACGATAAAATTCATAAGAATGATGTGAATTCATCACTAAAATGTGAATGTAGGCCATAAATTTATTTTGGTAAAGCTTTACTGACTGACGACTGTAATCAGTAGTAGTTTGATCACTACAATTTAAAAATAATAAAATAGAGGGTGCTCTATTTTCTGATTTTTACATAGAGGATGCTATATGCAAATTTAATTTTGTCTCCCACATCGGACACCAGCAAAGTTGGCAGGTATGTAAGTGACTCTACCTGATTAAAGCAACATAGAAAGCTTTGTAATAAATGTTAGCCTACGAAGCAGTACCAGTGTTTTATATTTGTCGTGGTGGATTTAGGTGCAGGGGGAACCGGCCAGGCCCCACCATAATTTTTATGAAAAAAGATGGAGGAAAAAGAATTCAAATTCAAGTCTAAGAGTGCATTTCTGGCCATCTAGAGGTGCCATATTCATAAATATCCTTACCTCAGCCCCGACAATAGTAGGGCTGAAGTGGTCTAGTCCGTCCTTCTGTGAAAGTTCCTCCCTCTATTTCGGTTTCCTGGATCCAACACTGATTGCAGCCTCATTAACTCGACTCTATCTACTATTGGCCCCACCATATTTATTTTTTAATAAAAAAAAAAAGAAAAAAGAATTCAAATTCAAGTGGGAGAGTGCATTTACAACAATGGTAGGGCTGAGGGGGTCTAGTCCGACGTTCCGTTTGGGCCGCGAAACATTTTTGGAGGGCCGTGAAGCCGTCTGGAAATTTTAAAAAAATAAATAAACAAAGAGACGTTTCATCATGGAGAAAATAGTTTTTAATAAAGCCACTTCATTGTTACGGCGAATGCGTCGCTTGCACACGCTGCTGAAGTGCCAGATGCCAGATAACTATTTGAGTTATAAGCGGTTTTTGTGTCTATATGCCCCCTCGGGAGCTAGACACTATGTTATCGTCTATCGCATTAACCCTGTAGATCGAGTAAATGATGGGGATGATGGGATGCGTCATGAACTAAAGATAAAAATAGAAATAGAAAGGTCACTACAGTAAACAACACCACACATTTCTTGACCAATGCCCATGTGGATACTTTATTACTAAACATAATACCTGTATAATAAGGTAGTCTTTCAAAGTTGCGGAGTAACAGAGTGTGCGTAAAAGCTTTTGGAAGGAGAAACCTATGACGTGTGGCTGAACCGTATTTGGTTGAATCATGGTAGGAAAAAAAAAATCAAAAAAAAAAAATCAATTGTCGGGTGGGTTGGGGGGGAGAAACACAAATGTACGGTATTAATAATGATATTTAATTTGTATACAATGAAATTTTATCACTGAGAGAACAGATAATGATGTCAAAATATTGTATATACATAGAGGCTTCATGATCAAAAGTTCTTGCCAAGATTTGTTATGTTGGTCCCTGGCGCTGCTGGGCTGCGGCTTGGTGCCTGGAATCGTAAATAGGCTGTGAAGTAAAAAGTTTGCGGAACGCTGGTCTAGTCTGCCCTCCTGTGAAAGTCCCTCCCTCTATTTCGATTTCCTGGATCCACCACTGATTTCAGCCTCAATAACTCAACTCTATCTACTATTACATACTTAAACCATTTTCAAATCAAAACAAGTATTCTTTCTATTTATGTTCATGTAACATTTTCATTTCTAGGTGATGGAACAAACCAACGGACGTTACATCAACACCTGCTTATAGCGAGTCCACAAACAGTTGCCTTTCATTAGAGAGGATTGCAGATAAGATAACAAATCTCTGTTTGTTATCATTCACTTGCTGATCAAACAGTTGCATAGAATGACCAGGTAAATAAAACAGTTATGATGGCTTTTGTTTGAAGCCCTTAACTGGCGTATACTTTTTGTTTGTGGTATAAAAATGGGTTGCTTTATTCTTTTCAACTGCCCAACACAGCTAATAGATCAATATGCATTGTTCAAACAGTCTACTTCTTGTTATTAAATTCACAGTAGCCAGATCACAACCTGAAATTTCAAACACAACTGCACGTCTGGTTGGATACACATTACGTCAGTGGACCAATTTTCTTTGTATTTGGTGTAGCGTACCGCGCCAGGGATACATTGAACATAGTGAGATTTCGTACTGGTGCAAACAATTTTTTTTTTATCATATTTTCTTGTACTGCACCATGAAAACTAAATGAAATGAATGAATCAAATGTAAATAAATTTTTCACAGCTCATGTTAAAATTAATGAAGTTGTTAATAATCGCAATATTTGTACCTGTACTGTTTAAATCTATATTATATTCTATATGTAGGACTATTAACATTTGAGCTTTTAATTATATTCAATTAACAACATTAAATATTTAATTGGCTAACCATATGGCCACTGTACCTCACCTAACAGTGTTACGTTCAGGTAGGTTAATATCAAAGTGTATGCAGTGAGTTACACGTTTATTCACCAAATAAATGTTTTTCTATTAAACGTGTATGCAAAAAAGAAAGACTGCTCACCTTCGCAATAGTAAGACACATTCGCACAGTAGTAAGACTCTGTTTTAAAAATTTTTTTGATATACTAGAAGCAACAATAATTATTGACTCCAAGTTCCATAGCCCTGGTTTCAAATCCAGAAATAGCACAATTCCCAAACCGCAGAAAGAGACTTTTTTTTATAGAGCGTAAAATATCTTTGTGTAATTGGTAAAAGTAAAGTAAAGTATATAAATAATGCTTATACAGATACTGTAAAACCTTTTTTGCTTAAAATAATGTTCAACATATGATTTTTTAATATTTCAAAAACTTAGTCAATCAATTCAAGAACACAATACAACAACGTGTCATCAGGAGTCAGAGGCCTTTCAGTGTTCTTTCGTATTTATGTTTTATTTTATTACAATGTCATCTGCTGCATGCTTGTCTTTACTCATGCTTTGTTGAAAAATTTCTAGTTGTTCTACATATAATGACCTTGAACCAACAGTGACAGATCCAGGGATTTGAAATAAAGGGGGCCCAGAGAGGGACTTTCACAGATGGAGAGTCTATACCACCTCAGTCCTACAATGGTTAAGGGCGGTAAGAAAATGTATGATAATGACACATTTAGGTGGCTGGAAATTGTACTTTCAGACTCAAAATTTCAGTATAATTTTCTTTAATTTTCTCCATTTGGATCCCCCCTTGAATCCGCCACTGATAGTTATAATGAAGGGGGTTGAGTGAGAGGAATGTGACGATATGTGTTCACCACCCCTCCATCCATCTCACCATCCCTCCATCTCACCATCCCTCCATCTCACCATCCCTCCATCTCACCATCCCTCCATCTCACCATCCCTCCATCTCACCATCCCTCCATCTCACCATCCCTCCATCTCACCATCCCTCCATCTCACCATCCCTCCATCTCACCATCCCTCCATCTCACCATCCCTCCATCTCACCATCCCTCCATCTCACCATCCCTCCATCTCACCATCCCTCCATCTCACCATCCCTCCATCTCACCATCCCTCCATCTCACCATCCCTCCATCTCACCATCCCTCCATCTCACCATCCCTCCATCTCACCATCCCTCCATCTCACCATCCCTCCATCTCACCATCCCTCCATCTCACCATCCCTCCATCTCACCATCCCTCCATCTCACCATCCCTCCATCTCACCATCCCTCCATCTCACCATCCCTCCATCTCACCATCCCTCCATCTCACCATCCCTCCATCTCACCATCCCTCCATCTCACCATCCCTCCATCTCACCATCCCTCCATCTCACCATTATGTATATATACTGTCTCTTATACACATCTAGATGTGTATAAGAGACAGATATAGGCCTACATTTACTAGAACATTTAAAAAGAAAAACTAATTATTGCCAATATATTGTGTAACCAGATATTGCATGTTGAGACATCACTAAAAACAAGAAAATATGCAGGTTTTATATAAAATGTAGCCATATATGATGACTATCTACTGAAGATGTTAAATAAAAAATGGAGTCATGTGCAAATGAGTTTCTTACATCTAGATGTTTTACATTTCAAAGGGCGCGGAGTCTACCTGAGTTGTTTTTTAAGTAATAAAAGTTTAATGGATGTGAAGCCTCATTAATGTTATTATCTTAATTTACGTAGGACTGTCAGGTTATAACATCAGTACCAAAGTCAGCTTTGATAATTCTTTTTGCTGTTTTCAGTATTTTAAAAATCTTGTGTTTGTTGAGAGTTTAAGACTGGTGTATCATGTTGTAAAGTCATTAATTAATATATTGTCTTTTGTCTACCGACTTTATCATCGATGTTGGTGTACAAAGTGTTCCCAAGTGTTACGCCTCAAATGTTCACTTTTTAAAATGAGAATACATGCAAGAAAGAAACCCAGCAAATTCACAAAACTTTCTTATAACGTTCACGAACGTTGTGTTTAGGTACGTTACAGCTTAACGTTAACAACAACGTTGTAAGGACGTTCGAACATTGTGACATGAAATTAGGTTATAATTACGTACATATGGTTCAATAAAATAACATTTTTATCACCAAACTGTAATTTTGTTATAACGTTCTCATAACGTAATATTGTTAGCTGGGAACTTAGATCTCGACATTTCTGTGATGATGCACCCTTCAGTAGCGCAACTCCCGTCTTCCGAACTTTGAACTTGCGGGGTTGAAACGTCTACCCCTTCCTACCTGATCAATTTTTAAATCATGAATCTGCCTCAGAATATTGTGTTAAGAAAACCGAAAAATCAAAAATTACATGTTATATTTATCACTTCGATCATATGCAAATTATTAATAAAACTTGACAATGACATCAAATAACCCAGCAGGAAAATTCCTTGAAAAGTATCAAACTTTTCCAGACAACAGAGAATGGATTTCTAGATTTGGAAACAAACCAGTAAACACTCAAGATGTTAATACCATATTGGAAAGAGAATGCCAGTGTGCTCTGTTGGAGACAATACAACTGATTACTAAAAAATGATTTAACCATCGTTCTATATGCCAGAGAGGAAATGGAATTTACTTTGAATAATACCGCTTAAAGCCGCAATGCTGGCAGGAATATATTTGGTGTGAAATAATGATCACAAAGCACATTGTTGTGGTCTTTCTTAGCTGGCTTGGTATGATATCCGCCTTCCCTTGACTCGTGGGCTTGACTCCCAGCATGACAGCGCCACGACAGCAACATGATTTTCATCTTCACCCTAGGCACAAGACTTGAATATTACTAGGCCAGTGTAAGGTCACAGTCAGCCCTCCATCTGGGCTTTAAAATGCCTTCCTCAGACAAATTTGTCAGACTATTTAGGGCTAGCGTCCATGCTTCGTTCACAACTAATTATCAATTACCAGATTAATTTGAAGTAGATTTGCAGAACATGTTATATAATTTCACCAATTGTTTCAAGTAATTAAAAGTTAGTCGAAGAGGCAAATTTACTACCAGTTAATTTTACAGTTTAGAATTTTAATGCTCCTCTGGGACTGGTAAAAAATTAACAGTAATTGTTGCTATGGGGACCAAAGGTGAACAACTCTACTCAAGGTTTTTAGATTTAATAAAAAAGTATGACGTATGTTGTGTAAGAATGATTCAATGAATTAAAACCTATTATGAAAACTAAAATTAATTTGTGTTTCCGTTATAAACTTCAATTTAAAATATTGTTAATATGGTATAAACATATCTTTCGGATGCCTAGTTAATTTTTTTTTTTTATTTGTCATAATTGTTAATTCCTGTAAAAGTATTAACTTAAAATTGTAATATTTTTTTATTATGGTAGGTCCCTCTTGGTATTCCAAGTTTATAATTGCAAAACCTTCATGTATTCTATATTGTACAGTATAACATCCTTTTTCAAAGAAAATATTTTGGGACCATATTTTTATATTTCTCCAATGTTGATTGCCTTAGATTTAATTGATATCTGTTTCTTTGTCCTGATTTAATCTATATTCAGCATTATGTTTATTTAACCAGAAAATATAAAACAAAATGGATTACCACCTTCCGCCTTTATCTGTTGCCTTGCGCACGTCGTCTCATTGCATCCTTCATAGCATCGCGTTGGCCTATGACTATCAGCCAGAGTGAGTGCCCGGCTTTAGGAAATGGAAACGGTTTTAGTCATGATAAAAAAAAATCCTGATGTCAAAGGATTTGAACACAGGAATCAGAAAACAGGCACCAAGCTACAGGTCCATTGTCCATTGAATAGTTTAGTTCCCTTAGTTTAGTTAATACATACTTTACTTTAATTTAGTTTATAGGTAAGTAGGCCTACTTTATTTATTTACTTACTTACTCATTCACTCACTCACTCTTTATTTATTTATTTTATTTATTTTTTTTATTTATTTATTTATTTATTTATTTATTTATTTATTTATTATTTATTTATTTATTTATTTATTTATTTATTTATCTATCAATCAATGTTTCAAGAGGCTTGCTCCCAAAGCAAACTAACTCAAAGAGGCACTTATTTATGTATGTACAACATATATAATATATATAAGATTAAATGCATTTAATATTAAAACATTTTTAAGATTGAAGATTAATATTTTTCAATTCAAACATAGTAATTTCCTTCTGAACCTACTTTATTGTATCATTTAAAAGGGCATGAACAAGAAACAAATTTAAACGTCAAATTAAAATGAAGTGCAGAAGACAAAAGAATGAAAGCACTGACCATCAAAGGGATACACCTAGTCGTAAATTAAACATTTACTTTACAAAGAACAAAAGATAATGGCAAAACTCAAATGAGAACTAGAACACTGTAAATATTA